TGAGTCCTATTTCTCCACAAACCCAGGAAGCTTCCTATTGAGTCCTGGGTTGTTTTTTTCTTTTCAGCAACATCAGTTATTAATATGTATGTTTTTGCTGACAGAGGACCCTGCTATAAATGTGGGTTTCGTTATCTTGTTCTGGGTCATTTGCCATGGGAAGCTTGTAAATATAATGGTTTATTCACATGGGAAGCCTTCATTAAGATGCATTATTCTCCAGCTGATGCAGTTCGATATGTGGTATATTATCATGTTCTTCAGCTCCCTTTAACGTTTGTAATTTATTTTTAAATGAATTGCAGTTTACGTGGCGAGTTAACAAATTTGAATTCCATATGACCAAAGCTATTAATGAGGAAGAGATGTCTTAGCCCAGAGGAAGGGCTGCTCATTAACAGAGGTCCTACGCCTATTACAAGCTTTAAATTCAAAAGCAACCAGAGCAGGGAATGACCGAAATGTATTTTTGTCTGAGAAAGTCTACATCAAGATGCATGCCCGGATGCCCACCCATTAATACCACATGGCAGTGTTATGGGAGATGGAGAAGAACACCGCTGCCTTCCTCCGTAGCCTGGAGGGACTTGGGAAAAGCATCCAGGCCTCTCACGTCTGTCTGCCAAGACGGATGCATGCGTGTGTTGGGAAAGACATCAGAGCAGAAAGGTGCAGGCAGACGGCAGCACCGTGCTCCTGCAAGTGGTGTTCATGGTAGACACCAAAGCAAGCTCAGGACTTCCTGTTTCACTCAGATCGTGGTGCTGGTAGGGATCCTGGTGAGCCCTTCTGCCTTGTACCACCAAGCAGACACAGATGAGAGCCTCTACTCACTGAGTCTGCATTAGGGATACAAGCAGGAGAGGCCTGGCTCACACACAGCTCGCAAAAGGGAATCACCAGCCCCGGGAAAGTGGCGTCCCAGGACTCCTACCCATCCAGAGCATCCCCCTCAGTGTTAGGACCCGCCTGCAAAACTGTTCTCCTCACTGCCCAGGGGCAGATAGATCTGGCTCCCATTTTATCAGTGGTGTGAAAACATGAACTGCAGTGTGGCCATGGGGGAGGTTAGACAGACTCGCTAGGGCTGAGAGGCTTCTGTCCCATCCAGGCCTTTAAGATGTCAACCAGGAAAATAAAAAAATGTTAGGGATTCAGGAAGGGAAGTGCCAGGCCTGATCTCAACACCACCAGACTCTATGGACCTGAACAAGGTGGAGATTTAAATTGTTGGTTTCATTTTGTTGTTGCTCCAGTACTGGGGCTTGAACTCAGAACCTAGGTGCTGTCCCTTAGCTTATTTATTCAAGGCTGGTGTCTACCAGCTCCACTTTTGGTTTTTTGGTGGTTAATTGAAGAACAGAGTCCCATGGACTTTTGTGCCTGGGCTGGCTTTGAACCACGATCCTCAGATCCCAGCCCCCGGAGTAGCTAGGATGGCAGGCATGGGCCACCAGTGCCTAGCTAGATCATTTGATGTTATCATGGTTCTTTACAGTGATTTTATAATTCTCACTCTGTACTCACTTTTTACATATTTTAGGATTTTTCCCCTTTGCGTAACAGCTGTATCTTCTCATTATACTAACCTTAGAAAATAGGCTTATTTTCTTGAGTTTTCTGATGTATATATTGATGACATATTAAATATGTGATTTCTTTTCTTCACGTAACTTTTTGGTGTAAAGTGGGCTGTATTCACCAGTGTCTACAGTGACAACACTGTCCCCTGAGGCTCAGAGCGTCTTCAGAGAGAGAGAGAGAGAGAGAGAGAGAATGTGTGTTCACACATGCATGTATATTACAGTTAATAGTTAATTTCTGGAATTTATTTTAGTATGTGATATAAATTCAATTGATTTAAAGATGTATTTTTGCTAATGTCCTTTGTAGAAAAGATCTTACGTGTTGTCCAGTTCTGATGTTAAGGGACTTTGACTCTGTTCTGCTAGCCCGGATGTTTCTTCACCCTGTAAGTGCCCTTCTCTGCAGCATTCCTGACAGCAGTGGGAACACGGCTGCCGTGGCTGCACCCCTCACTCCCGCCCTCCACTCACGCGCTGTGGCACGGCTTCTCGCAGTCTATCTGGGCCTTACAACCTAGTGGCAGCGTGGCTGGAAAGGGTGGGTGTGGAGAGAATTGTAGAGACAGCAATCTGAAACTGTAAAATTAAGACTGTGTGAAATCAAAAGCACACACAACAGAGGAGGTCGGTCAAAGAGACACGGGGGCCAGCTGCAGCTGAGCCATGGCAGGGACAAGTTGAGCAAAAAATAAAGCCCAGATACAGAGTAAAAATCCCTAAGGCCATACTCACATATATATGTGAGTATTTCTGTATATGTAACTTATATATTACGTGTATTACTGATGGTATAAATTAATGACTAGAGGAAAGGGGTACATCTGATATGTAGGAGAATCCACCCTTGGGAGCAGACCAGAAGTCCCGCGCCAGCCCGATGATCAGGGCTCACCTCCAACAGCGTCGGTTCACCATGGTGGCAGTGTGGCCCTCAGTGAAGGAACAGAGGCAGCTCTTGTTCCCTGACCAGCCACAGCCTAATTACCCCAAGGTGGGTGTGTGTCCTCATAGAGCTGGTTTCCAACACAGACAGACATGTCTGATATTTGTCAGCTTAAGAGCATTATTTTACAAAATGGTCCACAGACTTCAAAAGATAGTTAACACTATCTGTGGTAAAGAACCTGAAAGCCAGGCACTAGTGGCTCACGTCTATGACCCCAACTACTCCAGAAGCTGAGATCTGAGGGTTGCAGTTCAAAGCTAGACCTGGCAGGGAAGTCCATGAGTCTTACCTATTAGCACCAAAAAAGCCAGAAGTAAAGATAGAACACTTGAGCAGCTCTCCTCACCACGAACCAAACTCACTTTCTGCCTCTCAGGTTAGGCCTTGGCTGTGTGGCTCCCGTGGTTGTCTTTGCTCTGACTGTGAGGATTCTGATCTTTGGCTGGGGATGAATGCTCAGAGGGTGATGGGAAGGAACTTCCACCATGACTGGGCCTGGTCTTGGACCAGGATGTTTAAACGTGGCTCTCAGACACACAAAATTTCAACTGGAAGTTTGCTATAGTGTGGACATAAACGTGTCATAAATATAATTGACAATAAAACCTATCACTTCTCTGCAGTAATTTCTGTGTAGCCATTGATTCTCACAGAACACTTGTCTTGATTTTAACTGCACTTTGTGTATCTGCTGCTGTCAGCCTGGAATTGTGGTCTGCAAATACAATTCCGCTATGAATGTTGTTGATATTTGCACTTGGGTTTGAGTAAGATGAGTTAAAATGTCAGAATGTGACCCATTCATGTTCTCAAACTGAGTGACTTCTTTGCTAAACCAGATTGTGACTTCTTCATGATGGTTTTCGTGTCTTCTTTGAGGACTTGATCCTCAAAGAAGTTTTGTGATGTTTTGTTCAAGCCTGCAGATAACGAGTGTGCAGCGTGCTTATGTGCATCATTTACATTCCTTCTGTCATACTCTGAGTCCGTAAAATCAAATAAAACGATAAAACCAGCTCTTATTGGCAACACTGACCAATTTCCGTGGTGTAAACTTTCCCACTGTAGCCACTTGCAAGTTACTAACCCAAATACACTTGGGAAGTTACAGGAGCTTGGCATTATAGCATCATAGAGATATAGCACACATAAATAACAGCAAGGGCAGACACACCAGGAAAATAATTCAAAAATAATGAGTTTTGAATATCAATATCTTTTGTTTCCGATTTTGTGTATGTCAGCAAATTTATATAATTTCTGATCTAAACATGGATATATTTAATGAATAGCTTGCACATTTCCTGAAAACTTGTCAGATGAATCTCAGAAGCCGTTATAGGCTGCTGCCGCACACCAGCGAATTTCTCACCTGTTGGTACATAGGATAGCCTGGCTGAGTCTCCCCTTCCCAGTCATGCACCTCTCCTCAGCCAAGCCCGCACATGCAGCATCTGACTGGCACGTCACAGCGTATGAGCAGCTTGCCCTACCAATTTCATTTCTTCGGAGGTCCTTTTAAAAACGGGAGTTTTGTCTTAAGGTGATCTGTGTTTTCTCCCCCGCACGCGCTCCAGACGCCGGTGGTTGCTCTGCCCTGGGGAGCTGCAGCTGACCAGCTGCCGACTGCGGGTTCTGAGGGAGAGCATTCTGTTAACAAGGCACAGTGTCGGAGTGGCTGTCTGGACCCAGCTCTAGGTTCTCCTTCCTTGGAGGTCTGTAGCAATGCACCTGATGCTTTCAAAGTTCATTTTTGGTGTCGTTTTTGTTCAAAGTCAGAGCACCTCAATTCTTTTCGCAGTGCTGGCTTCAGATCCTTATTTCTTCTGTGTACTGGCCAGGAAGATTTGGCAAAGCTTTCACTTTCTGTATGGGAAAAGATATTTTTAAGGCTTCTTGAATGTGTTAGTCAGCACTCTGTCACCATGACAAAATACGGGAGACAACCCACTTCAAAAGATCAAAGGTTTGTTCAGGCTGAGATTTTTGGATCAGCAGTCCACGATCAGCTGGTCAGATTGCTTCGGGGGTGTGGCATGGTAGTGCATTCTGGTGGCAGTGTGTGGCAGAGGACAAACACCTTCTCAAAGGGCTGCCCAGTGACCTCTAGTCCTTTCCACTAGCCCTCGCCTCCTTGAGCTCCCACCCCTCCCAGTGGCTCCACCCAAGGGACCACGCCTTTACTCATGGGACTTGGAAGAGCAGTCAGCATGGGAACTGTTGTTCTGGGTACCGGCATGTTTGCTGAGCAGGGGGCGGGGGAGATAGGGCTGGGGGAAGCCTGGGTCCCTTCCCTTGTTGGTGAACCAGCTGTGGGCTTCCTCCTGCCAGAGCTAACCTCATTCCCTCCTGTAGTCCCTATGTGCCGGACGCCACAGAAGCTACTGACCGGCTAGATTCTTTTTCTCTTCATTTCCACCAGCTCTGGAACTTTCCACCCTCCCCAACTTCTCGTCCTCCACTTTCAGAACCCACCCCCGCTCTTTAACGAAGTCAGCGCCACCATCAAGCAAGCGGAGAAGGTGAACTGTCTGCGGAGCAACGTGCAGATGGAGCACGAGGAGAACTACCAGGAAGCCATGATCACCATCAAGGAGGACCTGAAGCTGATCGAGGGCCAGGACTTCAAGGAGAGCCTCAAGGACCAGATCCGCCAGTGGTTCATCGAGTGCAGGTGATGCGTGCGTCGTGGGTGTGGTACGTGTGGCCAGGGCGCGGTGAGTCCCGCCAGGCTCCTGCTCGGGTCTGTGGTGTCGGGCTGCTGGTGTCAGGTTCTTTTTTTTCTTTTCTTTTCTGGTCAGTCATGGGCCTCGAACTCTGGGCCTGGGCACTATCCCTCAGCTCTTCAGCTCAAGGCAAGTGCTCTACCACTTGAGCCACAGCACCACTTCCAGTTTTCTAGTGGTTTATTGGAGGTAAGAGTCTTGTGGATTTTCCTGCCCAGACTAGCTTTGAACCATGATCCTCAGATTTCAGCCTCCTGAGTAGCTAGTGTTACAGGCGTGAGCCACAGGCACCCAACAAGTGCCAGGTTCTTAAGCCTGTGGGTATAGAAGCACACAGTCTCTGAGCTTCACCTTTGAAAAGTAAGGTTCCCAGGCTAAGAATTCAGACATGAGTTCTTTTGTATAATTGACATTTCTTCATGCCCTATTTTTTAAAAAATGATAATAATAATAATAAGCTGCTTCAAGTAGAATTTCATAGCCAGGTCTGTCCCAAAACCTAACGTTCCAGCAACCATCAGAAACCTGCCCTCCCCTCTGGCCCTCCTGGCAGTCTACATACTTGTGAGAGGCTCGGGATTGGTTCTCCGTCCTAGAACTGTCTGCCACGCTGTGGCTGCCAGCCTCGGGACCGCAACCTGACCCAGGGCTCCCTGAAAAGAGGGGCCAGTAGGAGGTCTGGGGACAAGGCCCTGGCCTCTCAACTGATAACAGTCCTCTCGTGGCTGTTAAATACAATGCTAAATAATCATGGATTTGGTTGCAGGACTCGGGTTTTAAAGGGTTTTCTTAGTTTCACACGGTAGGACAAACACTTTGTAGGTAACTGTGTTGACGGTTTCAAGTCTATTTTCTTTGCTAAAGGCAGAGCAGAGGGCCAAGCGCCCTGATGGCTGATGGGGCTAGGAAAGGCCGGTGTAGCCATCCTCCCGCAAGCAGGCGCTGCGTCCTGTCGCACCGCTCCCCAGAGGCTCAGACGCCGGTGCTGGGCAGCTTAGCCCACCCCGCTCACTGGGAGGGCCCTGTTGACAACAGAAGACAAAATCACACTTTTCCTCATAAACAGTATTAAATATTTTCTGTCATTTCATGTCTGTGGCAGGCAGGCTGCAGTCCCAGCCTTCAGAGATCCTCCCTTTGGCACAGTTCAAGCCTAACAACTCAGTTTTAAAGAAAACAATACGGCAGACGCGCTGGCTGGTCTCCGTCTGTGTCCCTTGTGCCTCCGCTGGCTTTGGGACGTCGGCGCCCGCACTGTCAGTGCCCAGTGCAGAGGCCCTCAGGGCAAGGATCCGAGGGGGCTCCCAGAACACGAGAAGCAGGAGAATGGGGGTCTCTTTCCAGCAGTCAGAGGGCGAATTCTGGTCCACACCCACACAGAATGCCAGAGGTGGGCTTATTTATAACCAATAACGGTTTATTCAGAGAGGCCCTGGCTGGTGCAAGCCTTCGCACAGCACCGCAGCGCCAGGTGGCAACACAGGAGGCTTCCGGAGCACCAGCTCCTCTTCTCTAGAACAGACTCACCCCACAGCACCTAACCCGCTCTCTAAACAGTGCCCTGCTCTGCTGGTGATGGCATTCATCCATCATGAGAGCAGGAGCCCCCTGACCCCACGACTGGAAGCTGCTGCCTCTCCTCACAAGCCCCGTGACACTGAAATTCCAACTCGAGTGTGAGGAGACGCAGGCCGCAGCCCTGGCCCCGCACGCGCAGGGATCTGCTGCCGGCCGTACTTTACGTGATTTACAAAGATCCGACCTCTCAGACCTCCCTTCCCTGGGACTCTAGCACTCATAGGTCCTCAGGAATAGCCCACGTTTAGCAAAGCTAAACTGAACAAGTTAAACTGTAACAGTTTCTTCATGGATGTTTGATAGGACAGTTACATGCAGTCGATGAAGGCGCTCTGCCCTTTCCCGCAGGACAATACTTGAAATATTGAATTGTATTTCTCAAGTTCATTTGGGATGAGTGACCTCCCTTCTGCCTTCTTCAGGGCCTGCAGCAAGTGTGAGCAGTGAGGGATGTGTGAGTGAGGAAGCCCTGGTGTGAATCCCTTCCAACCACGGTTGTCGGGGACAGGCGGGTTCCAGCACACGCAGCGCAGGGCCCCTCCCGCTGGCCCCCTCTGCCGCCCCCTCCCATCCTCTCCTTGGGTGATGGTCTCCATGAATGTACACATTTGTCAGAGCGTACCAAATTGTACCCGTGAAATATGAGCCGTTGATTGCATATCAATTATGCTCCAGTCAAGCTGTTAGAAATGTGCCACAGTAATGATAGATAGCAGCAAAATGCCAGGACTCAGCTCATAAAATGCTTGCTTTTCAGATGCTGGGCTTCCTCTTGTCAGCCCGACTGTCAATCCTGGTCTTGCTCACAGCATAAAAAACTGACATTCTCCAGCTATAACCGGCTGTCCCTCTCGCTTCAAAGTTGTCTGTTTGGGTCAGCCATCTCTTCTGAGTGGATTTAGAGGCAATCCAAACACCTCCCTCTCGAGCACCTTGCCCCGTTTTCCTTTTCCTTTGGCATTGCTGGTGGGGGGGGAGGGCTGTTCTCACACCCTCACATGGAGGGAGGGGCGCCCCCCCACAGAGGGACAGCAGCCCAGCACATGCAAATGTGTGTCACTTCACAACCAACACATGCTGAGTGTTAGGTGAATTAGTGGTTGTGCATATGTCCCAGAGGAACCTACACCAGCCTAGATGGTGTAATCTTTACACACATTGACTACATAATGTCTGTGTGCACACACACACATATACACGCACACGCACACACACACACTATAGCTTGTTGCTCCCGGGACCATGCTGAACAATGCAAGGTGAGATTAAGTGTAGCTCAAGAGAACATGCAGTGAGCTCCAGCGGAGTGATGCAGCGTATTGATTGAAATAGCACACGGGTAAACTGTATAGGGCTATGTCCCGTCCGAGGTTGCATGGCTGTACTAGCCATGTGTGGCTGGCAGCTGCGTGATGCTGCGTGTACTGCAGCACCACCCAACCCATTACCCTAGCCATGACATCGCTGGACAGTGCCAGCAGAATCCATCTCACAGGTGGTTGACCATTGGCCCAAAAGTCAATGTCTGTGCTGGTTTCCATGCCCCAGAAGGTCGTGAAGGCCAGGAGTTGGGCTGCCTGATCTTTGGGGGCTTCCTTCTGCAGCCCATGGTTTCCAGCATATGCATCCAGTCACCCCAGTTCCAGCCTCTGGCCCATAGCCTGTCCTGCCTGGGTACTGGTTCTCTTGGGACCTCCCTGTCTTCTGTGGAGTTTTCTTAACACAACCCAGGTATTCATGGCCCTCCTCATTTGCAGCCACGTGCTCCTGGTTCTCCTGAGCACTGCCCAGGGGTCTCCCGTGTTTAGGAATCTCCTTACCCCGGCCCTGAGTTTTCTGCTGGTGTCTGGGCATGCGCCCCCCTCTGACCAAGACCCTTAGCGGTGTGCCCACCCACTCACCTACCTCCTTCCTTCTCTCCACTTTGCTCACTGCCTTGTTCTTCATGTGGAGAGTGGCTCTCAGACCCTCCCCAGCAGCTTCCTCCCCAATTCCTCCCCACTTCCTCCCTGTCTCCTCCCTAAGCTCTGAGGTTTTGCATAATGATGAAGAAAAATTAGCAAGCCAGAGTCCTTACTTCCCATGAGATGTCTGTGCAACTCTGGGCTCAGACCTCACTTCTCTGTGGGTCAGTTCTGTCATCTGGGGCCCATGGCACAATCCCAGAGTGCTTGCTTGGGTCTGTGAGTCAGCCATTCATCCCTCTGCCCACTCTGCCTTCTTCCAGTAGCAACGGGCCTCTACTAGGAAGCAGTGAATGGGGCAGCTAGCGGTGCTAGGATCTTCTGTTCGTTTATTTTTTTTCTCTTTGAACAAATACTGGGGCTTGAGATCAGGGTCTTGTGCTATCATTGTTTGTCTCCTTGGCTTAAGATTGTCACTCTTCCACTTGAGCCATTCCTCCACTTCCAGCTTTTTACTGATTAGTTGGAGATAAGAAACTCAGGGACTTTTCTGCCCAGCTAACTTTGAACCACAGTTCTCAGGTCTCAGCCTCCTGAGTAGCTAGGATAACAGACATTGGGACCCAACTAGTCTTCCATTCTTAACCATCTACATAATTGTATCTGGAGAAAATATGCTTGAGATGATTTTGTCCAACTGCAATCACAGAAATTTAGTTAGAAAGGCAGTTTTCCCGGAGAACCAAGTCTTCTGACTAAATTGCTTTGATTTAATTGAAAACCTTCATTGTCATGATTAATGGTTATTATATGCCCTGAATTCACAAATTTCCATCATCCAGAACTTCCCTTCTTTGTGTGTTAAAGAATAGCTTTGCAAAAATATGTTGTCTATAAATGAAATGATTGTTTTTATATAGACATTTTAAAATCCAGCACATTGCTAAGTGGCAAAACTAGGTTGAAAGCACTATGTACAATTATAACCCAGAAAAGTTAAAATGTACATGTTCATTTGCATAGATTTGCATATATTCATGCAGTAGTCCCCTTTCTGTTCCAGAACCCTGCCAAATAGGGCAGATCCAGATACATACAATGTGGCTTTCCTATACTTGCATATCTGTGGAACAAAGCTGAGTATACACATTAGGCACAGAAAAAGATAAATAGCAGTAACTAATAAGGCAGAATGAGCATACCCATGTATCATTATGCTTGTGTTTGGGGCCCTTATTAGTTCTTAAGTAAGAATTAAGCACAAGCACCGTGGTACTGCAGTAGTTGGTCTCATAATCAGGCTGGCTGCTAAGGAACTAACAGGCAGGCAGTGTATACAGCGTGGATATGCTGAACGGAGGGACGGTCCACGTCCCTATGAGCAGGTCCTTGCAGGGCTTGCATAGCACGAGATGTCTTCATGCTACTCTGAACGGCGCACGGCTGAAAACACAGCAACTGTTTAT